CGCCCTGGACTTACAAAATACGGATAAAAACAATACTTATGTGCTGCACAACCTTATGTATATTTATATAATATATAGGTACATATTATATACACATTTACTGTGTATAATATTATGTTATTACCCGTAGCGCATTAAAAAGGATAGTTATTGCAAATTTTATGGGTCACTACAACATGGGAAACAATAAAAATGTGTAATAATTGTTTATACAACGCCGTCGTCGAAGGATAATATTATTATCATTATTTGATTTTTTTTTTTTAAATACAATTAATAATCGACCTGTAAAACGTGCTGGACGATTATACACCGAAGGTCCGTGCACCATCGTCGACGCTAATGGTCAACCGTGAGTCGTTTCACGGTGTTCCGTGAGTATTAAAAAAAATGTCTTCTATAATATAGATTTTATTCAGATACATTTAAATAACAATACTAATAATATATGACAATATGTTAAAACTAAATCATGCTGACTTTTTGGATCACCCGAGACACCTAAATATGTCTAGTGTAATTTGATTTTTTTTTTTGTAAACCAATCTTTCTAAATTTGGACGGTGACTAATGTATACTTTCTCTTTTGGATCCAAATTAATTATATTATCGCCGTTAAAACGTCTCTAGATCATCGCGCATGGGCATGACGCATACACGGTGCCGGTCATTTAGCTGTTACCCTAAAATCTTAGTTGTGAGTTATAGTTACATGCAATTTAAGTAACACTTAAAAATTATCAAACAAGAAAAACCAATAGGTACATTTAAAAAAAAAAATATATAAATACATTTTTGGAAGGATTTTATACCGATTATATTGTACAGAATATTATTTAGCACTGCCAAAATTGAGAATTTTACTTCCATACAATATATTGTATACACTGTATTATGTGATGCGTTGAATATAATGTATTTTAAAAGGCTATAGACCGTACTGAGATTGGTAATTAGTAACGGATGTACAACGCAATGCATTAAAACGTTAGACTTAACTAAACGAGTTCAACACTCAGCTGTGGCGGTAAGGTGCCGAATAAATTTTGAACTGAAGTTGAAGCTATTTGATCTATTGCAACACGGTTAGTTCGTTGTGAACTGGATATTATTGTTTAGTATTTTACTGGGCATTGGCGGTACAATATCTCAATGACATACTAGAGCAATAATGTGTTATCCAACATTTAATTAGTAAAATTTGAAAATTATTTAAAAATTGCGCCGGTTATAAAACCGCTAAAGGTCCAGAGTACAGTATATAATAAAAAGATACGACCGAACATAACGTTAATTGATATGGAAAAATCCATATGCAAAAGGTTAGGTTACGCGGTCATCGTTCGGTGCTGTTATAAAAAATCAACAATGACTGACAATCCGCAAAGGTGTAATAAAAAAAATAATAATACATAATTTTCTACGGCCCGTAAGCCGTTTATTAAGTCAATCGCGCCAAATTGTTTTTTCCAGTCCACCACTTACAACCGAAACACCAAGCATCTGCGCTGCTGTGACCTGTGTATATTCAGATTATTAACGACCTTATCAATTTAGACCAGCTATTCGACGACACCGGCAGTGCTACTGTCACGAACAACAATAATAATAATATCAATATGTTATATCGTCTACAAGTAGTATTGTGGGTATAGATAGGCGCTGTTGTTGACCCCGAATTTGGCGACTGTGCTCAATAAAATCGTGTACAAACCATCTTTAATAATATTGTGTTACGGTGCAACGCTGGACGTGTCACTCTATATTATTAAAACGCTGTTCTATGCACCATCTCTTCCTCTCGCTTAACTACTCTCTCTCTCTCCCTCTTCTCGGATGTAATAATATATGTAACGTTTTTTTCTTCTTCTTTTGTGTCCACGCGGGTCATTAGAGACGAACGAAAATGAAAAAAATAAAAAGTAATACAAAAAAAAAAAAAAACGATAAACTCCTCGACAACAGCACTCTGCGCGATAGGAGGAGTAAAATAGTAAGTAGTAACTGTGTGTGTGTGTGTGTGCTGTATAATTAGGATAGAGTTGTGGCCGGGTTGTAAAAGTGGCCTTGATCCCAACGTGTACAACCGAAGCACAACACAACACACAACTGCACTCGTCGCACACACATTATAATATTATTATTCCCCGTCCTCGTGTCTGTCTCTCTCTCTCTCTCTCATCTCTCTATCTCTGTCTCGTTCGACGTAGCTGTCGTTTGCTATATACAATATTATACTTACTACGGCTACGGTGATTTGTGCCCCGCCGCCTCCGGTTCGACCCAAAGAAGAACAAGAAGATGAACACGTGGTCTCGCCAGATTGTGCGCTGCCACCGTACTATACAATAACACAGCTAATATTAATATATTATCATCATTTTTATCGTGTACCACCGAATAGAAAATATAATAAAATACGAGAGTAATAAAATATAAATGCGCACGCACTGCCGTCTTGACCGACCGTGTCATCGCTGTATAATAATAATAATAATACAACGTTACACATTATTCTATTATAACAGTCCCGTATATACGTGTAACCGTCGTCGGCCACTACTGGTGTTTGCCGACATAAGATTATATCGTCATCGATACTCTCGATATGAGTGTACTTATATGCCTGACACGAGACGTATAAAAATGGACCTAGAAAATACTCGAGCGACGCTCGTGGTAGAGAAATAAAACAATTAAAAAATAATTAAATTAACACTTGACCAGTTCCATCATTACCCTATGGGCACGAGCCCAGGTCCCCCGGCCTGACGAGAGCCCCGAATAATACAATTTACATTTTTTTATTTACTTCAGACTTTCAGATGAACCAGTCAGGATTTCTAAAATTCCTCCAAAAACGACCAAAATCTAAAAATCTAAAAAATCAAGTAGACATATAACGAATGTATACTACTATAAAAATATAACCAAAAGGCGTAACATTTTTTATTTTTATTTTTAAGGCGCAATTTTAGGATTTAAGAGCTGGAAATCGGTCTGAAGAAAGGTCTTACACACACCTATAACATGTGTAAAAATTGTGTTTTGATTATTTATCAATTTACTAAAATAATACAAATTTGTATAATTTACTTATTTACCTATGTAAATTATTAAGTTGTTATGTATTAGGTAAAAAAGTGGTATTAAAAAAACATAAAATTATTTTAAAGCTAAAGTTTACAATAAATTCTTCATATTTTAGCTTCGACGCGTTAGCTGTTCTTCAGCTGGACATTTTTATTAATTACAGTTGCTGTACATTTATCTAGGAAAACTTAGTATTCAATAATAAATATTACACACATTTTCGCATCGAAGGGTTCATTTGAAATGATGGGTACTATCACTTTCTCTCTATTAGCCCTGTTCTTGTGTACAACTTAACGTAAGGAACTTTAACAATTTTCTGGTCTCATTTTCTAACTGGGGATGCTAATGTACATCTCAGCTCCCCCCCCCGCAAATCGGGCCAAAGGTTATAAGAGTAAATTTATCATGCTAAAAATTTTCCGAATTCAATCTATACATAATAGGTTACAAACAGTAGTATAATGGGGAACATATTATTTTTATTAAAAATCATATAAAAGTCCCTAACAAATAAGTTTCGCAAAAATTAAATTATTCATTTCGAAACGTTTACAAAAAAAAAAAAAAATCACAAGGCGTTAAATGTAAACGGTTCGTTTGCTAAGCTATCACATAACATACGGTTATAATGTAACTACGGTCTGAACAAATAGAACGGAAAATTAACTTTTTTTTCCACCGATAAATGCCACGTACCTATTATAGTATATACGCTTTAGTAAAATACATCAAAATCATAAAGTTGATAATTTTTACAGTCGCGACATTTCTATGCCACGAGAAGCAAGCTAGCAAGCAAACAAGTGTTTTTTTTTCTACCGACCTGAATCCAATTTTGAACAGAATAATTATGATGCGCTCCGATGTACTTACAAAAACGATTTTCGGCTTGGTGTTGTCCTTGTGTCAAACAGCACATTCGTTGGAAACTGGATGCGATTATCTCGGTAACGTCAGTGTTGACAAAGATTTACTCCATCATGATTTAAAATGCACATACATGTACAGCGCATTGACACATATGCTGGTAACAAAGCGTTTAGCCGACCCACCTATATCTTTGCGTACATCTTCGGTGATCGGCAAAGTAATCCGGTACAACGCTGTTTTAAAAACCCAAATATATTCACTGTACCGCTTGAATGTAACGCGTATGGATGCGTTGTGGATTCTAAATTTGTACATGGGTATGGTGCTCGGCGTTTACGAAAATTCGTCGAACAAGGAGGAAGACGGCCGGAAAATTATCGCCACTCACGGCTATATCATCGGTAAACTCCGTGAAGACTTAACCCGTTGCCGTGAAGATAATTCGTTTAACAAAGAGAGTGTGATCGACTCGTTTAGCAACCCTACAGAAAAATACTTGATACATTTTATAGACATGAACGTTGACGCTACCAAATATTTACTTAAAAGAAATAAACACAAATATGTCGGGACCGCGTTACAAGTGGGAAATCTTTTATTGAACAACATAGGCGCGAAAGACGAGAACGTAGACGATTTAATGAACGCATTCAACGTTGAAGTGGAATGGTCCAGCACGGGTAAACAATTGCGAAAATCTTGGGAAGATTCGCACAATATACTGAATTGGCCTAGCACTTTTGAAAGCCTGAAATTATATTATAAGCTGGCCTTTGATTTCCTGAAAATCATGATTTTCCGGCTGTCGTTAAAACACCTTGACTATTTAGAACACTTTATTACTTCAATCTTTTACGTGGAATACGCGCAAGGATGGTATGATAAAGTCAAAGAGTTTGCTGATATGTTAAGCTTGTCCGAAGATTTACACGTTAAAAATTTGCTAATTTATCTCGATAAGCTTGTCAGACGAGAAGAAACAATAGCCAGTGTAGTTAAATATTTAATTCCAATATTGGGAAAACTCTGTGAACCTTTCGAGTGTGAAGCTACTAAAAAATTCGAGCTATACGGTAACGAATTCCAGACACCTTATAAAAGTTGGATAGCTAACTACGATTTAAATCTTAAAAAAAGTCCTGTGAAGATTGAGCGTTATAGTTTGGAAAATACTAGAGCATTCTTGTGCTACCTCAGAGAGATGTTCAAATATAACAACTTTGACCTTGTTCGGTTACTCGTGGAATATATCAATGAAATGAAAATGTAATAGTGTATTGATAGACTGGAAATTCGTCATCGCCATACATTTGATTTCTATTACATAATACAGTAAAAAATTTTAATTTATATTAGATATATTATATACTTATTTTAATGTATTATCTAGAAACCATCGTACACCATTGTAGTACCCTCCTTGAGTACATTTTCCTAAAATGTTATATTGTAAACTGCAAACATATTTTCTGTTAATCTTGTATTTTGTAATGATTCATATGTTATATGTATTATTGAAATATAATTGTTGTATAAATAAATTCTGAGAATTTTCATTTAGAGGTTTCATCAAAATCAACACATTGAAAGACAGTACACTTTGAAGATCTTTTCGTCCTGCATTTTTATAACTGAAAGTGGATATTTATAATTCAATAAATGTGTCGAAAAAATGCTTAATTCGTATATAGGGATATAGTATATAGGTGATTTGATCTTATCTGTGCAATGTTGAGGATTAAATTTATTGCTCAGATATTAGAACCGTTTTAAATATCTGTTAGTATACTGTTGCTATATGTACTGCTAAAACTTTACTTTTGCGTATGAAGACATGCGATTTAGTGTAAATCATGTATAAAACTTTTTTTTATATTATCAAACTAAGTACCAACCTCCACATTGTGATTTGTAAATCTAGCTAAGCAGAGTAACCTAGAACAGACGAATAAGCTTCGATGCTAACAGAAGTATCAAACGAGAACCTCTCCTTTGGTAATTTCTTATAACTGTCCTGGTTTCTTTTTACCCTTAGATTCAGACACTTTTAGATTAAACATTTGCCTCAACCCAACTTTGTTACTTATTGTATGTATTTACAATGATGTGTTTATTTAAAAGTTATTTTGACACTTTCAGTTATGATATATGTATTTTTTTAAACTTTATTTTTAGAAATATTATGTTCTAAATAACTTGCAATTATTTTCCCCGTCAAATCGACATTTTTTATTAATTAACTCATCAAGCCCCAAATAGTAGGTACAGTTTTCTTTCCGACAATGATCGCATTTCTCAAATCGTTCACTATACAAACGCTCTTGCGACGTCTCCACGAATTTCTTTGGTACTTAAGCGTTTTTTTTTTTTGTTATTTTTGGACGTTTTTAAAACCTACAGTTATCGACGTGCGTGTTCATTACACCGAAATAAAAATACAACACTCGATTTGAGACCCCCGGCAAGTGTTTATTCGTTTGGCAAATGTCCAAATCCGACGCGGTAAACAACGACAAATCCCTTAATAAGGTATTATTGTTTTATCAGATCGAAACAAAAAGAAGTGACTAACTATAGAAATTTTTTTTTAACGCGTTATACATGTAAAACGTAAAAAACTTAAGACAGTAAATGCCTGATATAGTACATGGTCGGTTGCTCAAACTATATAAGAGTCTAGACAACTTTATGTAACAATATGGTGTCTCATACAAAATGGAACATTATCGTTAGCATTACCTAATTAAAAGTATAAAAATATATTATTATTATAAAATATATAAATAAAGCATGTATAAGTATGTAAAATAATAGTATTTTTGTAGTTTTACTATTTAAAAAAAATATTTTGTTGGTTTTTCATTATATTTTTTTTTAGAATATTATCTTATAATTCCCATACGATCGGCCAAACTGATCGATAGATTATTCTTAACAAGTTAAGACGTGCTATTACTTTAAGGCTGCTATTTATTTTCCAAACAAAAATATTTATTTATTTTAAATAGATAATTTTTACCATCCACAGTTTCGTGTGGAAACGTTTATTATATGAAAGTGATTTTATAATAATTCCCATTTTTGTGAACTCTCTGCTCTCTATACTGTGCATTATTATTTTAAGATTATCAATAAGAATAACAGTATTGTTATAATGAGAAAAAAAATGAAGTGTGCTTAAACACTTACAAAACTATTAGTGTTTTTTTATACGTCATGTATTTGCTGTTTACATGTGTTTGTTTGGTTTTTTCCATAACACATTAGGCTTTTATATGTCAAAGGTTTTTGCTACACAATATTATTACTGCTTATACCTAGTCAACGGTCAACAGCAAGTAAAAAGTAATAGGAAGTGCGATTGTCAATGACAATATCAAAGCGGAACACACTATGTACGGTTTTTTAACCACTAGAGCGCGCTTTATGTATGATATTTAAAACCCAACTCGACTACACACACACGGCGACGGTCGTGATAGTAAATAAAGAATATTAAGTATGATGGTTCAGAAACACAATGAACAGCTACTAGTTTCAAATTGCCATTGTTAATAATAATATTGTACAACTGCGGTAGAAAACGATATTCTGCACACGTTTTCCTGTTCTTGGGGTTATTTCCGAATTTACAATTATCGCACACTATACATGTGCGGTGGACATCAATAAGAACGGTAGACAATTTTTTTTTCATTAAAAACGCGTGCCTGAATTTTATAACGTGTTCAATAACTAATGTTTGTGCTTCTAAAAAAAAAAACAATACAAGAAATTGCTCCTACATTGTCAAGGTCGCAATACTTTTTACTCATCATATTTGATTGCGCCTACATATTAATTATTATTATCCACTGAACTGTACAACAATATTCAACGATGCTTTCATTAATCAATTATGACACATGTTTAACGCAGCTGCTGTTTAATACTTTTGTCCTTATAAAAACTATTTTTGGGAAGTCGAGACAAAAAAAAAGAATCAACGTGTTCTGTTTTAATTGTAACGTGATTTTAATCTCTTCACAAGTGTAACCAAAAACCTCAAACGGATTTTTTTATGTTTTACACAATTAGGAGAAGAGCCGAGAAGTTATTTTTAAAGAATTGTACTTTTTTTAAATAGGGTGAATTGAAATGAATTCTCAGTTTTGAGAAATGAAAAAACAAAATAAAACTATAATTGTTAAAATTGAAAAATCCTAAATTGAAAAACAAATAAAACAGTTTTGATTTCATAAAATATCAATTGAAATAAGCATATGGATAAATAAATGTAAGTAAATAAATATTTCTATATTATTCTAAATATTTATATATTATATAAATTATAATTGGAGTAAATTAACTGTCAAAATTTCATTAGTTGTTTTTTATTAAATAAAACAAGTTATAGGGTATGCATTTAATAAGTAAGCACAGAAAAATTAAGTTGATTTTTCAATCATTTAAAAATTATAATTAAACAAACTCTTCTACAAACTATTATCTACTTACAAATCTATATTTTTGGTATTATAATTAATGTCATTGTACCTATATGTGTTGTTCAATTTCCAGCTTATTATGATGATGTACAAATATAAATATATTGTATAGCTATGATTTTTTATATTTGATATTAGTATTCACGCAACAATTCCAAATAATAATAAAGCAGTTTTGAGTTTTAAAAAATATTTTTTATTTCTAATAATTTTTATATAATCACACACAGCGCGTTGAAACAGCAAAATATCTATATATATATTTACATCCTACTGTGTTGTCTGTTATTTAAAATATTATAATATGCTGGTATCTAATTTTTTTTATATTATTTACAAACAATTTTTTTCTTCAAATTATGCAAAGCGATAACGTCTATAGCTGTTATAGCAAATTAGGGTCATTTCAAGACTTGACCCTATTTTGTGCGTGCATGTGTGTGTGTGTGTGTGTGATATTGCAGAGTTCAAAAATGAAAACGTGTTGTATCGCAAATAACAAATTAGTTCCGAGCCAACCCAACGGTGTGCCGACAGCAGCGGGAGATTTTGAGGAGTGGTAAATGAAAAATAAAAATAAAAAATGATAAATCTATCAGGTTCGATTTGATTTCATAATCCCGTTGCCGAGATCACATTTACGCCGGTGTCACATCGTGTGTACTTAACACACACGGTCGCTTGTACTTTATTACATACACATCTGAATGCATATAGGCACAATCAAAATACAGCGTTATAATAATAATATATCTGTTACAGGCAACAACAATTGTGTCGCAATCAAGATCACTGGGCGCTTATAATAATAAAATGTGCTGTTATTATGTCTCGAATAATAAAACGTATAGATCTCGCACGATAAACCGCGCACGATTGCCCAGTTTCGTGTAAAACGTCTTATACCTGTATAAATTAAAAAGATAACAAATGTAAATAAAAAAAACCAACTAACGCACAAACCATTCCTCGACGGTTTTAATTGTAGACGAGAAAATGTAACCGTTTGCAAAAAAAAAAAAAATTGTAGCCATTCTTATTATGCATAGTCGCTTGTCGTTGGTACATACAGGTGATGTACACATGATATATATATATATATATATGTATATAATAAACTAGATTGCCAAGTGTAGGTACATGCCGCCGATAATCACAATCACAATATGGTTATAACAATTACAAGTTAAGTTGATAGCACAGAATCACGTCGACTTTAATATTCTTATCACTAGTTGGCAATCTAGCTTAACAAATGTATGTATCTATTTGTGCCTGTAGTTCATCACAATTGATTTAAGTAAACAACTAAAAAATGGCCGAACCAATAATATTATGATTGTACCTTTGCCATAAAGCAAGCAAAAGCAACTCGGAAAAACAAGTGCAACCCAATGAACGACTACCGCGATGAAGTCCTCTAACGATTTCTTCGTTGTCATTGGTCTCGTGTTGAGGTTTTTTTTTAATTATGATTTAACGACTGAGGGTATAGTAGGTTCTTTAACCATATACATTAGTAAACAAATCCCATGTAAGTATATTGTTATTGTTATTATTATTATTTTACTATTGTATATAATATAATAGGTACGCGCACTGACATCGCAATAGATTACTACGGTGATTAGCGTTCGGTACAGTATTAATTATTATTCATTAATAACAGCAGTGTAATACAAGATGATAATAATAGCTGATATTTTAAACAGCCCGGAGAGAGCGCAATCCAGTAGTAGCTGTATCGAACTTGTACCTACAATAATTTATATTTAATTTTGAGGTTTTTGTCCTCCACACCTCTCTGGGTTTCGTTTTATACAATACATACTGTTCTACTATTGATGTGACAGTAGGTATAATTCGTAAGCGCATTAAAGTCGTTATTTTCTATTTTAAGCTCTGTATGACTTTTTCGACTTTTCCAAGCAAGATATTTTTTTATACCATCAAAAGGGTTGTTTTTTTAATCT